CTCGGTCCTTGAGGCCCAGCAGGAGCACCTCCTCCATCAGGGTCAGCCGCGTTTCCTTGGAGTCGCCCTTGTCGTCGTCGTCCTGCTCGTCGCGGCGGCTCTGCGCGTCGTCCTCGCCGTTGCCGCCGCCGCCGCCCGCCGCCCGCTCCTTGTCGGCCGCGTTGCGGGAGGCCTCGGTGCGCCGCTGCACCAGGCCCGAGCTGCGCTGGGTCAGCGAGGTCATGGCTCCGGCCGCGACGCCGGGCCGACAGGGACGCGGCACCTACCGGGTCTCCCTCCCCTGCCTCCCGCGGCCCGCGACCGCGGCTTCCGTGTTAAACCCGAGCGCCGGGGCGAAGTCCGTCGGCCGCGTGGCGGAGGGCGGTCATAGGGAGACGGGCTGGGGCGGGAGCGGGAGCGGGCGCGCTGGCCGTCGGCGGGGCGGCCGAGGGGACTCCTTCCTGAACGCAGCGGCCGCGGCCCCCGAGGCAGCCCGAGCTCCGTGGAGGCGGTGGCAGCGGAGGCGCCTTTCCAATATGGCGGCGCCGGCTGACGTCACCGGAGGATGTGGCAGAGCTGGCGCGGGGCGGACCCGGACGGAGCCGGAAGCAGCGGGCGGGGAGACGGCGACGGGCCCGGGCGGAGACTCCCCGCTGCCGAACCCCTCTGCGGCCCTCGGCTCTCGGCCGGCGCCCGCCCTCCCCTACGCGGCCCTCGGCCCGCCTCCAAACCCCCCGCCTGCCGTCCCCTACTTGTGACGTGTGCTCTGTGCGCCCGCCTCCGGCGGCTGCGGCAGCGGCGGGGTGCTGCCACCTGGGAGGAGACACATGGGACTCTTAGAATTCCACATCCCACGAGCTTCGGAGTTGGCTCCGCTGCCCAGGGGTTAAGGAGCGAGCTTAGAGACCTCTCAGGAGGTTGCAGTGACTTGGCTCTCCACTGTCGGCGCGAGGAGAGAGTGCACTCTCTGCGTGGACTTCCGGACCTTCCAAAGGAACGCCAGGATAGAACTTAAAGTGGACTTTTAAGTCGACGGGGTGTTTTATTATGAAAGGAGAGGTTACAAACATGTCTCACTTTGTTAGACTTTGCCTTCCCGCCTGACTTTGTGCTATTAAGTGGCCAGGGCACAACGAGGTTAGTTAGTGCTGTGCACATTAATACACAAGACCTTGATGGTCCTTTTATAGAAATCATAAACCTGTTGGGTTTCATGCCACGTCTTTGTACACATTAAATCTCCCTCGATTTAATTACTAAGTTGAATTCTCTTGGTGTGCTTGACAGTTTGTGCTAATTAAACTAGAAGACAGATGTTCAACCTGAGGGGGAAGGTGGTTAAAGGGTGGGGCTTGTAAGTAAAACACTACCTTCGGGCTTCGGCATCGTATTGCAGGGACGCTGCTTCTGTAAGGAATTGTGCTGCCAATGCAAAGGTGCACAATTCGAATCCACCAGCTACTCGACAGGAGACAGATGAGCAGTCTTCTCCATTGAGACTTCGTGCCTCTGAAAACCCTCTGGAGCAGTGGGTCGGTTCCGACTTGGTTGGTACACAACAACGTGTACAATTTAGCAGAGAGATCTGTTAGGGTAACCCAGAAGTTGCACCCCTAAACCAAGGGCGATAATGACTTGCTGGTGACTCAAATCGAACAGTAGCTCCGCGAAAGAAAGATGGGCAAATTCCTCCTTTGCAATTTAAAGCCTCTGAACACCTGATGCAGCGGTCAGCTGTGAGTCAGTTATGACCAAATGGTAATTTCTATTCTTTTGTTTCATGTCTTTTAACAAAACTTAAATTATCTTTACTTGGATTTTATTGATCATGCAAAGGCATTAGACAGTGTGAACCATTATAAATTAAGGATAACATTGAGAAGAGTGGACATTGTGCAACACTTTTAATTGTGGCCATGTGAAACCTGTATATAGACCAAGACAATGGTTTGAACAGAACCAGGGGATACTCCATGGTTTAAAGTTGGGGAGTTTTTACCTTTATTCCTATTCCATCTCTATGCTGAGCAAATTATTCAAGAAGCCGAACTAGATGAAGTATGTGATAATCTGGACTGGAGCAAGACTCATCAACAACTTGCAATAAGCAAATAGTACAACCTTGTTTGCAGAAACTGAACAAAACTTGAAACACTAGAGATTGAAAACTATATATTGGATCTCAACATCAAGAAGGCAAAATTCCTCACCATTGGATCAGTAGGAAACATCATGAGAATGGGAGAAAGATTAAAGTTGTCAACTGGATTCACAGTGAACACTCATGGTAGTTGTGATAAAAAAAGCTAAAGACATGTTGTGCAGGCAAAAACCTTGCTCTAGCCTGTACCATCTTCATGATTTCCACCATGGGCAGGACCACTGTTGCACCCAGTTGTTCATCTAAAGGCCAGCAGTTCAAATTCACTAGCCAGTCTGCAGGAAAAGGATGAGGCGATCTGTTTCCATAAAGATTTGCAGCTTTGAGAAATTTAGGAGGCAGATCTGCTACATTAATTTGATGGGTTTGACCACACCCTTCAGTGGCCCTTGAGTGGCACAAATAACTTAAGCTCTTGACTAATCAAAAGGGTGGTCGTTACCACCCACCCAAAGGCACCTTGGGAGGCAGAACTGATGATTTGCTTCCAAAAGATCACAGCCTTGAAAACCCTCTGCAGCCTTTCTCCCAAGCACACACAGGGTCATCACAGTTGGGATTAAACTTGATGACAAATAGCAACCACCACCAGCACTCAAGGAGTCCCTGGATGCCAAGGAGTGCAGGATGTTGTTCATCAGACTCACTGCAATTATTACTACTTCCATGCCCTCTCTGTGCCCTCCTTTGCTATCCTGGCCTTGACCATGCTGGCCTTGCTCCTGCTACTCTGCCTGGGCCCAGGTGATATAAATGGAAATAAACTCAGAATGATGTTTCAAAAGCAAGAAGCAAAACTAACTATGAGATATCATCTCACCCCAGTAAGAATAGCAAAATTTAACAGAACAGCAAACATCAAATGCTGGTGAGGTTGTGGAGAAACTGGAACCCTTATTCACTGTTGGTGGGAGTGTAAAATGGTGCAACCACTCTGGAAGGCAGTATAGCGCTTTCTCAAAAGTTGCAAATTGAAATACCATTTGACCCAGCAATTCCACTATTGGGAATTTACCCTAAAGAAACCATAACTGCCATCCAAGCAGATATATGCACACCATGTTTATTGTGGCTTTGTTCGCAATAGCAAAGAGCTGGAAACAACCCAAGTGCCCATCAAAAAATGAATGGATAGAGAAATTATGTTATGTTCACACAATGGAATACTATGCAGCATTGAAAAACAAGGAACTCATGAATATTATGCAAAATGGATGACCCTGGAGGACATTTATGCTGAGTGAAATATCTCAGTCACAAAAGGACAAATAGTGCATAGGGCCACTGTTGTAAAATGGGACTGACATGAGGGTTGAGGGAAGACAGAAAAGGAGGGGAGGAATGATAAATATTGCATTGAAACAGCTGAGGGAGAAAACTGTTTAAAAAGGGATACATGAATGGGTATTCTTGTTATTACAAAAGTCCAGAGTGAAGGGTGCATAGTGGAGTGGACTTAGGGGGGGATTGCATAACAATGAAAGAGTTTTTCTTTTTAAGGAGAAGAGTGAACTGGGTGGGGGAGAGAGTAGGGAGGGAGAAAAGTGCAACAATGAATGACTGGAAACCCCTAAGTCTCTGTAAACTTTCATTAAAATTGTTGTTGTTGTTGTTGTTGTTGTTGTTGTTATGTGCCATCGAGTTGTTTGCGACTCATAGCGACCCTATGTACAACAGCCCTAAACCCTGCTCTATCCTGTGCCAATCTCATTGCCTCTGACACACCCATCCCGATTACCCCACTCACTGAATCAATCCACCTCATAGACGGTCTTCCCCGCCTGTGCTGTCCCTCTACTCTACCCAGCATGGTGTCCCTCTCTAAAGACCTGTCTCTCCTTACAACATGTCCAAAGTATGTCATACGAAGCCCCAGAATCCTTGCCTCCAAGGAGTAGCCTGGTTTAACTCTCTGTAGGATGAATCTGTTTGTTTTCTTGGCAGCCCATGGTACATTCAATACTCTTCTCCAGCACCACAGCTCAAAGGTGTCAATTCTCCTTCTATCCTCCCTAGTCATTGTCCAACTCTCCAATGCATAACAAGTGATTGCAAAAACCATTGCCTGTATCAGGTGCACCTTAGTCTCCAGAGAGACATCGTTGTTCTTGAGTACTTTAGAGAGGTTCCTAACAGCAGACTTTCCCATCGCAATACATTTTTTTTATTTCCTGGCTGCTGGTGCCAAGAGTGTTGACGTGGAGCAGAGCAAACTGAAGCTGTGAACAATCTCAATCTCTTCGCCATCCATCCTGATGCCACCGATTGGTCCAGTGGTGAGAATCTTTGTCTTCTTGACATTGAGCCTCAGTCCATACATTTTTTTCATTAAAATTAATTTTTTTTTTTTTTGGTTTTCAGGTTTTTATTGGGGGTTGGAGGGGAGGGCCCATTCTCGGAGGTGCTCACAGTTTCTTCAGCCACTCCAGGCTGGGACCCAGGGGTGGTTGGGCACGTCAGGCATGTTCCCATCATCTCGGAGGGGCACTGGGTAGCTGTAGGGGGTGACCTCATTGATCATGGAGGCATACTTGGTGTAGGGGCTTAATGAGGGCAGAATTGAATTACAGCGAGACCGGAGATGGTGAAGGACACGACCAGCACCGGCTCCTTGTCCCAGGCATTCTTGAGGAAGGCTGCCAGTCTAGTCGCCATGGTGGCCTCCGCGGCGGCGGCAGCGGCAACAGCAACAGCAACAGCCTAAAATTAATTTTTAAAAAAAATTTTTTTAAAGCCACACTGAGAAGCGTCTGTCCCATCGAAGACTAAAATAGCTGTTGAGGAGAGCAAAGCAAAAGATTCTTGGGCAGCCTCAAACTCCAGAAGTGATGGTTGGGGGACCGTTTCAGCCAGAGCTGCAGCAATGGTACCAGCAGTTCCTCTGCGTGGAATTTGACAAAGTAAAATTTGAAGATGAAGTCACCTCCTGGCTAAACAGAAATTGAAATAGGCATGACTATTATAGGAAGTACCACCAATGTCACTGTGATGAAGCTGCAGCAACTGGTCCTTAAAACTTCAGGCATAACTAATAAAATTTAATAAAAAATAAAAAAAATTTTAAAAAAAAGCAACCTTCAGGC